CTATCTTTGTGCCCATGCTCTGTCTATCTCTTAACCGCTCTCTGTTCCATGCCCTGCCTTACTTGGGTTCATTCTTCCACTGACTGCTTACCTGAACGGTCGTGTCTGATTCCGGCTAGTTTGCAATTTTGCCTTTAACGTTATTCTGCTCTGATAGCGGTACCTTGTTTTCTGCTAAGCGTTGTGCTTTGTACTCTTGAAACCTTTAAGGTTTGTTGTATACATAATTATTGATTTGTTTATTAATAGTACCGTAGAAACAGTGACCGGCTTCTTGTTGGTTCTGGACCGGGATAGCCTTTATCTACGCGTGACTTAATTTCAAGCGATATTGCGCTTACAGGTACTTTAGGACTTTGATTCATCCCACCCAGAATTAGTAGAGGAGTCCAACTACTAATTCAGAATACCTAAATGATGAAATCAAACAATATAGTGGGGAACATTACAAATGAATAACCACCCACCAGATTTTATTTAAAAATTCATGAAGACCCATCAGGAGGAAAATAGGAGGAGTATTGAAACATAATATGAATAACAAGGAATTTAAAGCATCTGTAGTACACCAATATAAAGAAGGAATAGCAAAGACTCAAACTAAGATGGCAGTTAAAGCAACCAACCCTCTTAGAGACAAATTTTGTTGGATTTAGGACTTCACAGATCCAGTAACGCAAAACAGTTTAATTTACCAAACATCATTCAATGAGTATGAGGTCAATTGCTCGAAATGGGTTGCGCAAATGCATTACACGATTCATCCAAAATGGATACCCAATAAGATTCATTGACAAAAATATCAAACCAAGAATTCGGAGAAACGAAACTTTACTTGCACCAAAAAAGAAACTCTACATGAATCTGGATTTCAAGGGTGATTTAGCAAGCGATATTCTCAAGAGAAGGATCACATCACCTCTTAGAAGAACATTCGTTGCAGCAACGCTAAGAATAGTGTTCTCCAGTCGCCCACTGATCTGCAGAAGCCCCAAGGACAAGATCCCGCATCTGACCACTTCTATGTGCATATATCACTTTACCTGCTTCTGTGGAGCCAGATACATCGATCGTTCGACGCGCACCCTGTCCAAGAGGATTCAAGAACACTATCCAGCGTGGTTGCGAATAGGCAATATTGGTGCAATAAGGAGTGCGATAATTGAACACCTGGTTGACACTAATCATTCCATTTCAACAAACGCCTTCTTCAAAGTAATCTACAGAGTCAAGAATAACCTATCAAAGGCAATACGGTTTCGCCTTCTTCGTATCGCTGAGGCTCTGGCCATTCACATAGAAAAACTGGAGCTGTACATACAAAAGAGGATTACTTAACCACTTCTGCTGTCTTGGTAACAACTTTTTTGATTTTGATGACTTAATTTTGTTTCTTTGCCTGTTCTATAATTGCTTATAATTCTTGTATTCATTTAAAACTCTTACGTAATTTCGTATTATCTACTTTGTTCCTATGTGCATCCTGAGTAAAACTCACTTATCAAACTATTCATATTATTACATAACTTCTTTTAACAACTGTTTGTGAAGACTCATCACCTTTGTTACTACCCTAATTTCATTAACACCTAATTTTCTTGACTGATTTTGTATTACGTAACTCCAATTACCAATCTTCACCTGTTTATTTAAAATAACTATAAGCAATTGTATTTCTCTTTGACAAACTTAATATACACATACATACAAAATAACACATATATATTTGCGATTGTACAGCTAAGAAAATGAATTCGTCGCCGAAAAGAGACTCTTCGCTGATCTACGTGTTTTGTTTTCATTAATGTCTGGATGGGGATTATACATGAATTTACACGATTTAGACAAGTTACGTCTTCTTATTGCTTTGCCTCAAATACACAGGTCTAATTAGTGGACAGGGGCTATCTAGATCTATGGAACATAGGAGTCTATGCAGATCTGGAATGATTCACCCCGCTAAGTTGAGTAACCTAGAAAAAGGCTAGGCTATTATGTTACACCGACTTGCGTGCTCTCAAATAATAGGGTGGAATAAGTTAGACGTTTTAAAAGGTAATATTTAGAAGAAAAAAGAGACAGGTGAATTTCCAAATATGCTCAACTAAATGACACAACACCCATATCGAATATATGGAAAATCACAATAAAGAAACAGCATGGGGTTACACTATATAAAGTTGTGCCTGAAATGTTATTCAACCGTTATTACTATATCATCAGTGCGTCTGTGTGTGTCATATCAGACAGAATTATCTAATATGGGATTATATTCTACAACAGTGTGCTCAGCTTCCACTCTTACATAATCTTACTAAATGTCTGCATCTATCATACATAAAAACTTGTGAAATCCTTGTATCGAGAAATAAGGTATTTACGATCAAATCACTATCATTATTACCAGTAGTTTTAGATTTACATAACAAGAACCCTCAAAGCCAGTCAGTTAATAAGCTTTCTGACACCACTTCGATTATCTGACTTTGAATTTATTGTGTGGATCTTTTAATATCAGTGTTAATGTTATTTTCAAAACAGTCACATTGTGAATGTCAATGTAGAAATATTTGTTTTTGCAGAGATTTGGTGGAATTAATGACGGACCAATATCAGTTAGAGAACTACGGAAAAAAGTCTGTTTCGTACTACTTTGGGACTCTTCAACAGTTCTTACCCAAGACCAAATTACGGAACAGACTCAGAGTCTTCAGGTTACACCTCCAGCCCGTCGAACATCCAGCCACTCGGATGGAGTCTAATGGGTTCACGAACCATTCTAACTTCTATCAGTTCGTGAGACAAAGCCATCACCATTCAATGAGTAGACTTGTTGGATCCTATAGTTCACTTACTCATTAACAAGGTTAACACTTTGTAATCAGTCACTAATGACCACAGATCAGCTGTCAAGTGTTGTTCAGAAAAGAATTCCATAAATTTCCAAAAAAATTTGTTCACAACTTACTTCAATGTCTAACTGTTCAATTCTTTTCTGGAACATTTTCAATCGGTGATGATCAGCTGATTCTCCAAGATAATCCGCTGCTTCATTGGCCTCTTGTAATAATCTCAAAATTTCATCTCGTTGATTGTACCAATCGCTTTCTTTCAGCAGCACTTTTGAACTTTCAAGTTGTGATAGGGAAGTCTAGTTAGTGGAGGGAAATGAATTGTAGGAGAGGGATGGATTATTTATTAGCAGAATAACCAGCCATATTTACTGTATACATGTATATACATTTATATATATATTTATATGTATAGTTGGATACCCCACAGACAACAATCAACATTAGTGTTTTCTAGCTGGCTAGATCAAAGGGAGATCATATACGGACTCCCATTTCGCTTGTTTGAGGCTGAGGTCATCATTTCAGTGCATCTGATTTGACTCACGAAGAACATAATCATTTCAAACCATGCATGAATTCCGACTGGCTAGATAATTACTTAGGAGAACTGGTGTCGTGCTAGATCTCTTCATAATATTAAGTAGCATTGCCACAAAGAATAATTTTGTTGGCGTTGAATTCTTTAAACTGAATAGTTCAGCTATATGGAGCTGTGATTGTCCTGTTTTAAAAAATGTGATCCTCACGTGAAGCCTTTCTAGAGCTGGACCTGATAATTATGTAAAAGAACCATCTAGCTAACTGGCTGCGATGCAGTCAATGCGATATATGTATATATATACATGTCGGAGGAGAAGTAATGTCCTATCGTCTACTAAAACATGTTGCGTAAAGAATACGACCTATCAGCGGGAAGATAAAAGATGAGAGTGAGTGACAGAATTCACCGCGTTTTAGAAATGGCAACGCCTAACGAAGGTGAATTCGAATTCTTCAGCAACAAACTGGCTGAAGAAGCAGCCGGCGAAGACAGGACTCCAGGTGAACGTAGAGAAGACATAAGTGATGAAGATAACCAGCCAGTCGACAGCAACAACAACCAGCACCAATCACCATCAAAGGAAGAGATTTGACAGAGGTTACTTCCTTCACTTACTCGGGTAGGAAGCATTGTTTCACCTACAGGCGGAAGGGATGACGATGTCAAATCAAGAATCGGGAAGTCAAGACACGCCTTTATCAACCTGAAACCAGTTCAAAATCTTCTGCACTCAACAAGAACAAGGAACAAGATTCGGATTTTCATTACAAATATGATGTTGGTCCTTCTGTATGAGTCAGATTCTTGGCCAGCGCTTCACAAAAAGCTTTTTCAACAGTCTACCATGGACTTTTATCAACAGCTGCCTTCTCTGGCTCCAACTGAAGATCAAATGGCTTGCCAAAGAGAATTAGCGACAAGAAGCTCTGGTAACAAACCAACCAAAAACCTATTGCTCAAAAATTATGTAAGTGATAACGAACATGGATTTGGCATACGTCGAGGAGTCCATCGAATGGCATCGCGCGCCATGAAGGCCATCGATCTAGTGGAATCCTAATGGGAGGTGACGAGTGGGTTGTTATTACGAGGATTATATGCAGAAGATCATCTGATGAAGAGATGAGAGAATATGGGCAATCGTGTACCCAAATGAAGAGGATGGCAGAAAATAGAAGAAAGTGGAGATGTGTTGTTGAAGTCCTATGCTCCACTTGGAACCCAAGGGAATAATAATAATATAATAATAATCGAAATTAGCCAACTTCTATCACACTCTCTTCTTTGTTAATTATCTTGGTTGGATCTGTTCAGACTTGAACAGACGAAAATTTTCTTTTGAATAAGCCTTCAAAAATGAGCTCTTTAGTGTGTAAACTATAAACTAATTAAGGTGAGATTACACACAAAATGAGACTTGAAATTTTAACTTCAATGTAAAGTCAGTGAGTACTTCTGTATGTCGTTTCAGAGATTCGGAGCGCGTGGCAGCCTATCATCAATACCTACACAATTCGCTAACTCGATGATGAAGATTAGATGACCCACCAAAACGCGTAAGCAACAAGAAACTATGTCAGGCAGTGAGTCCGTCAGCGGCATATGGCTCAACTATCAAATGTGCAAAAAGATATGGGAATGAATGGATCAGACGTACGCTGAGGATACACAGAAGTGACATCTCACACTAGTTGGCTTTTTAAGGGTGACATAGAGAAGATCGTGTGAGGAAACACCGAAAGATTGTAAGCAATTGGGAAACCAGCTAGAAATGATGAAAGAGAACCGATTTTAATGAAGACGAAGTCCTATGATCCATTCGGAACGTAAGAAATGATTAAAGTGCACTTTAAATCGCCTAAAGCTAGATAAAATGAACTTATTCAATATTACTTTTGTTATTAGAGTTTCTGGCTACTTTTAACTAGATTGGGAGTAGCGTTTATGCAAGTATTTCCTCACCTTACCGTTGTATACCCCCTAGTTTCGTCTAATTCTACAATAACTATATTTTGCAGACTGGAATTAGAGTAAACCACTAGCAACTTTGACAGAAAATTCTGCTATAATTTGATTGGGCAGTCTTGACGCCCGACTTTATACAACCAATCAAATTAGTGATCTAGAGGTGTATGTACATGTTATTGGTCTCACCAACAGAAACCAGTCTTGTCTTCTAATTTTTCTATGGTTTCAGGAAGAAGAAAGTATTGAGAGTTCAAATGAATACGCTGTTACTGAAGTGAGTTAAAAAGACACACACAACTATATGTTGATCTCTAACCCGATTTATTATGCAGTAATGCTGAACTAAACAGCCTGCATATAACCTCATTCCAGAAACAATTAAATTCACGAAATTCGATACTCAAAACTTACTTCTATACTTCTCATATATTGATCGAGCTTATCCCATACTGTTAAACGTTGTTTAATCTTCTCGCCTAGTTGTATAAGATAATTTGACTTCTCAATATTCCATTTTGCTTCACAATCGTCCTGCCATTGTTGAACTACTTCCAAAGCATTTTTCGGTAGGAGTTTATCATCATACTGAGAGATTTTATTCAGTAGGCCCATGTGCTTTCCCAATTCACATTTACACTGATCTAATTTCTCTGGAATATGTTCAGTCTTCAGACAAAGCTGTGTTTGTTTTTGATATGGGAAAAACAGAGAATGAAAAGTGGTCAAAACAATGAGAATAGATCTTCAAGTGTTAACTGTTTTGCAAGGTTATTTTGATTGATTTGAAGTAAGGCTTCGAACTGTCACATCAGTTAGAGGACCAATGGATACAAGAGGGGGGCTAGATAGCTGCTTAAACCTATTTCTGAGACTGTTTTGCAGTGCATGCCTGGTATCCAGCTGAAGATTAAGCTCAAGATCTGCAGGTTACGGAGAGAACTCATCGACTCCTAATCTAACATGTTCACTAGTGACTGATTACATGGTGCGATGTGTAGAATTCCATTGAGAAGTCGTGACCAGCGGGATTAACTAAGTGGTTGGGCGTGGCATGGCACTGGCTAACAGTGACCGCGATATGTATCACCAATGGGCAGAAATTAGAATTCATGGAGTATCGGATCCGGTCTCAGTGGCTGAACGGTCAATGAGTTCGCCTTGGAAATTGAACGCCTTGGGTTCAATCGTCAGTAAAGTAGTCAGTTCTTGTTCTTGAAGAGTTTCAAAGGAAGAGAGCGAAACAGCTGTCCAGTACTCCTTGACTTTCAACGATTCTACAACTGATATCTTATTTCGTGATCTAACTTGAAACCCATTAAAATGGAACAGAATTATCTCGGTGAAGCATCCACTTCTTTGAATAAGTAAATGGCGAAAATTAACTAGTTCACAAACACAAGTGGTGAAATAGAAGGCGATACTAATGAATGTAGTAGGAAGCATTTATTTCCCGACATGTATTTAAAACAATCAACAAATATTAAAAAAGAAGCAGGATTTGATGAATTCATCAAATGACTGTAGAACTCGTCATCTGGATAGTCTTCTACGTACAGAGTTATATGCGTGAAATATATATATTCGAAGTTGTGTTCTATCCCTTATTCCCCTAACATATTTGGCAGTTTTATTAATATTATTATGCAATGATAATTTTCATTTCACTTTTGAAGATGAGCACCCTTAACATGTGGATGGTGTTGTTATAGAACGTACTTTGAATTCGTTTGGCTGTTGTGTATGTGTCTTGAATTGAAAATCTGTTTGGTGATTTGGTCGTCAAAGTGCCTTTTTACTGAAGATACGTTGAAGATATTATTATGATAAGCAATCAACATGAAGAGATGACTCGTTTACATTTTATTTTAAGTCAAATCTGTAGACTACCAGCATCGATTTTACGAGCTTTGTACAAGATTAATTTATACTTATTTGTTATTTGGTCCATGGCATATATCAAAGGATCCAGGACGTGCATTTCGTCCTGTTCAGAACTCATCAGATGGAAATACATGCATCTGTGGTAAGTGATGGTGTCCCATATCAGACTCCCACTTGCATTAAACGTTTCGCAAGCTAAACCAATATTCTGTAGGCTACTAAGTCACATCACCACATGCTCTAAAGTCTGAAACAACAGGTGTTGGGTGTGAGTCTCAGTGGGGACACCACTATTCACTGGAAATACGGATACATCCAGTTAGGAGTCTCAGATGGGTTGAAATACACATCCTGAATTCTACTGATGATATGAATAAACTAAATTAGCCTTATGTTGGTTTATGTACAGGAAGTAGTCAAACGAAGACTCGACAAAGCCATCAAGAGAACTTATTATGCTGCAAAACTTGTTTTCCTTAACACCACTAAGTGAGTGCTTCAATAATCTAGGAAAGACCAGTCGCCAATCCTCGACACTTCAAACTGCGTATATCAATTTGAGTGTGTTTGTGGAAGCAAATACATAGGTCGTACGGAAAGGAGATTGTCTACTCGCATGATGGAGCATTTGACAAAATGGTTGAAAACAGCTGAATGCAAAGTGCCAAAATCCTCAATAACAAAGCATCTTGTGGATTACGGACATGATATCGACGCATTCAAGTCATTGACTATTGTCAGCAGAAAAAGAAACAAGAAGATGATTGCAATTGCAGAGGCTTGTGCAATTCGAGTTTACAAACCAGGTCTCTGTGTACAAAAGGAGATGGTCGTGACTCTGAATCTACCATGGTAATACGTTTTACTTATAATTCTACCTCTTGTTATTATTATTATTATTCTCATTATTATTATTCTTGATTCATTTAAAACTATCCTTTACCAGTAGGATTATCTTAACTCACTTCAACATTATTATTATTATTATGTTATTATAACTATTGCTATTGACATCACTCTGTGTGCAATTCTTGTTATATTCTCTAATGTCTAATTGTTTATCTAAGTGATGTAATTGAAGCGTAATGCAATTTATCTTAATTTTGATCTCTCATACTCTCTCTCCCCTTATCTATTTGAACATGACCCGGAAAAACATTCGCACCTGTCTTTCTGCATGACTAATTCAATGTAGTTTGTTTACTTATCAGTCTTATATTTCCCAATGTAATTTCAAAAGTATATATATCAGTGTATACAGAGTATCCAGTTGACGAGTTCTACCGAAATTTGATGAATTTATTAAATCCTGCTTTATTAACCTTTATTGCTTGTTTTAAATTTGTATCGGAAAATAAATGTTTCCAATTTATGTTAGTTTCCAGAGGTCGTGGAAGCTTCTATACTAGAGACATGTTAACAGAGACCTGACATTTCAGATCAACCAATTGTAAATACAAGCGATTTAAATACCACTAAGATATTTTGTATACTTACCTGATAATCCGTCAGAATTCCATTGACCATTTCCTTTGTTTCCATTTGTATATTCCCATCAACAAGATCTAACCAGTTACAATAACGATGTTCAAAACCTGTAGCACTCTCTCTTCGACGACTTCGTATGCGTACACCTGTACTAGTTTCTGTTCGATTAATATTATACAGAATGTCGAGGAAAGTCCTGCGAGCTTTGGCCGCACCAAGAACTGCACTGCTACCTGGTTCATATCCGGTTATCCACGACAATCGTTTACCTAACTGGTTGATTAGTGAGGCAGGCAAACCAGTCGACCTTTCATTCGCAATAGTTCCGGGTAAATCGTCACGGATAGAGTTGAGTTTATGATTATTTGTACCGAAAATCTCCTGTTGGGCAAAAGAAAGCGAAAAAGGGAGTTACATGAGGTAGTCGGGCGTCGGTGACTCAAAGCTAGAATGCTTGGCAGCAAGTGGTTCCGGTTCGATTCTCGGTCACTAACACACTCCTAAAACTAACCTAGTTTGTTATGACTGACTGAGTTTTCAACGTAGAACTTTGTATTACGTGATTTTCTCTCGAACCTCTTGATTGCCATTGTGCCACTTGCGAAGCAAATGCGTATACCTTGTAATCATGATACGTTATTTTGTAGATATGGGTGAATGCAGTGGACCAATTGTCGAACGATATAAATGAACTGAACATAATTAGCTAGACACTGAAATTGCACCATTGAACCTTCGCGCCTTTAATCTGTGGTTTTGGTTATAAAAATAATAAACTTTTTTCCTCTTTTCTGGGCTTCGTCTTCTTCCCCGTGTTGGTTGATTGGTCAATGTGTCATCTCTCCTATTTTAAACGTGAAGCTGCTTCTCGTGTTCCTATGGTCTTTAAACTGTCTGAGAAGCCCAAAGTGTTTTGATGTCTTGTTGCTATGGTAATACATTGTTTTCATATATGCGACTGTACAATTTGAGACTGACACTTTTCAGAAAAGCAGAAGTATCTCTTCTCTTAACGCTTCTTCTTCTGTAACAAAAGTGACTTCTGATAGACCAACTACTTTCGTGTAAGATTCTCGATGCGTCTCAAAATTTACTGTGATTACCAATAAATCGAATTGAAAATATTTTAAATAAAACAAGGCAGGCATTTTCACATTCACATTCACTGTGAAGATGAACTATAGCGGCCAGGAAAGACACTGACGGTAACCTTTAGCCAAAGTTATGAATACCACTCATCTTTTACGGTCAAGGGTTAGGCTTAGGGTGAGGAGTAAGGGTTAAGATTAGGAGTTAAGGTTAAGCTTAGAGTTAGGAGCTAGGTTAAGGATAGGCTTAGGTAAAGATCAGGGCTTACGGTAAACGGACAGTTATCCTAATAAGAAGTACAAAAGTTTCAGCTTACAGCTTATCAACAAACTGAAGAATTTTACTGCCATTCATTCGAATTAGTTGCTCATAGTAATTTGATAGCCACTATAGTTTATCTTAACAAAACACACATTTATATACGCACACTTACAATTTTTTCACTCTGTAATTTATCTAACAATTCACTTGATGGAGGTGAATTCGCCGGTTCAGCACTCGATGGACGCCATGATTCTTTCTGAGTACCACAGAAACCGACTGCCTCTGTAGTAGATGACTTTTGATACCATTTCTGGCCAACTTGTTTAAACCATTTTTCCGCTTGGCATAACCATCTTGAAATACGACCAAGTTCCCCAGGTACTTTTGCATCCATTTCCCATAACCATTCGTTGATACTGTCATCCAGGTTATTCCAAGCTTCTTCTAAAATTTCTACTTCACTTGGATTGACTAGTGTGTCAGCATGGGATAAAAGACCAGAGTACCATTGATCTTTAAGGGATTCATACATTTCTTCTCTTTCTGCTTTTTCAGTAGTTAATTCATCATAAATCTGTCAGTGTAAGAATAAGTGCGAGTAAAAATTAATATATATATATATATAATATTAGGATAGGACTCAGTGTTTTCTATGTGATCCATAAAGAAGACATTTAGCTCAAGCCTACGCTAAAGTTTGGGTGAAGATAAAAGCTATGGCGAGGTGTTTTCACGCTCGGTACAGTAAATGCTACATTGCAAACTTGACTGATAGAATTTAGTCTGCACCAAAGATAGGATTAGACGCATACATTACACTAGCTACTGATTAGTGTCCAATCAAAAATATCCAATACAGTTCAACAAGAGGTTAATCGCGAGCCTGAATAGCTCAGTGGTAATGTCTCTGACTGCAGCACTGGTTGACGCGAGTTCGATTCTCAGAAAGGACATGAGTTCCTTCGAGGTTATAGAAACGCCTTGCTGGTGAGTGCCAACTACCACGAAATCTAGGTCCAAGGCCTCCTGCCGATCGCCTGCAACCATCTAATACCAGATATTCCAGTTGACTAAGAAAAGGCGATAAAACACCTTTGAAACAACCAGTCGTAACATCTGACATGACTACATCAGTCCTCCAAGCACGTAATACAGAGTCACATAAGACGCACTACCTGAGGAAATTGAAACCATCATTTGGCTGCCCTCGTTCCGCCCTTTCAAGTAGCCTGAATCGAAACTGTGGGAAGTTTGTTGCGCTATGACTTATGTGTATACTCTCAAAGTTCACACAACTGGATTTTTGTTGGTATATGAGCTATGCGAACAGAACATAATTTCCATACTGTTAAACTTGTAATTTATTGATCATGTAAAACAAGTATATAACTAGCCATATAGTTCCTGACCATTTATTACCATTTTTCTTGGAGAAATAAATCTTTGACTTCCACACCAATCATTCTGGTGCGTGGTTTCTCAGTGTGTGGGAATAATAATCGACTGATTAGTTGTGTGCATTGTTGTGCATTGAAGCATCAGTAGAAGGAATTTAAGTTCAATATTACCTTGGTCGAAAGAACATACACTCATTATCGTAATTGTTATCCCTTTGGGTTTCATTTGGGATGTAGGGCTTTCGTCCTGTTTTCTGCAGTCCCTTTTGACCAGCTCCACGACTGCCCATAAGCCTTCATTTCCTAATCACATGATATTCCCAATGTCATCTTAGAACCCTAAACCAACTCATCGTTTCGCATTTGCGTTCCACTTGACAGCATAGCACGTGGTATCACTCGATCGCTTCCTTAGTGTACTCAATCTATCTCCTTTTTCATTGGTACTTGTTGGCCAATAGGTTCTTGGTTAGTACATTGCCAGAGTTACTTGTTTTTTTTTATTATTTCCAGCTACCTGCCTCCATCGAAAGCATCTGTTGATGAAATTCTGTAGTAGCCTGTTGAAAATGCGTCAAAGCTCACTGATTTGAAATTAGTTTTGAAAATCAGGATCTTGTTCTTTGTACTGATTGCAGCAGATTTCCACACTGATATCTGAGTAATGAATTCCTGTCTTGTAATTCGATCTTGGCTTCTACATTTTCTTCTGTGCTGCTAGTAGTTGAAACAATGCTACCTAGATAGGTGACAGAGTCGGCTTTCTTCGAATTTCTCCCATTGGCGATGGTGACTGGTGTTTTCCGTTGTTGGTTAGATGTCTTCATTACCTTTACCTTCTCTGTGTCCACTTGAAATCCTGTCTTCACTGTTCCTTCCACCAACTTGTTGGTTTCCTCCTGTGGATCTTCGAGTTTGTTTGAAATTAAACATAAATTGTCAGCGAAGTTAAAACCTTATAGGGTCTTCTTGTCGGCTCATCATATTTGTGTCTTCCTGCTCTTCACCGTCTGATGCATGATACAGCCCAACACAATCAGCAACATAATGAGAGATAGTAGGCAACTTTGTGTTATTTCTGCCTTCACTTCCAAAGCTTCACTGAACTTTCCATTGTGAATAACTTGATGTTTGGCATTGTCATATAACTGTTGAATGAGACTGATAAGATTGGGCACTAACTGTATCTGTTGAAGCACTTTCCAAATTCAAGTGTTGGTTTGTAGGGATTTGATTGGTCACAGGATTTTCATCATGTGCTGACATTAGTTAGAGAACCATTGGAAAACCTGGGAGTACTGGACAGCCACTGGGACCCTATTCAATGGTCCATGAATTCTAACTTCTGCCAATTCACGACATAGCGCGACCCCTAGCCAATGTCTTCGGCGAGTGTTTGTCTTCACACCCGATCAGCTGCACCCTACTGGTCACGACTTCTCACAAGAACCCCAGGTGACCTGTCGAAGGTCTTCTCAAAGTCGATGAAGTCGAGACAGAGATCTGATCACCATTCTATGCTTTGTTCCATGCGTATGTGTAGTGCTGTGATTCGGTCGTTTGTGATTTGCTTTACCACAAACCAGGTCATTCCTGAGACAGATAAGCATCCAGGGCAAAATTTAGTTTGTCGAGGATGGTGAGGCTTAATATCTAACTTGGAGTGAACAGAAGCATGATACCACGCCATTTGTTACGTTCAAGTGTGTTGTTCTAAATTTTACCATGGGAATATTTAAGATATGGATGCAACAGTTAGTCCCTTTAATAAATTTGGATAGCGTTATATTAGAAGACTAAGTTTATCTGGAAAATGTGATGTGGTGCAATACTTTTTCAAAAATCTTATCACACATACAAGTTCACTTATTATCATCCTTCCTTCTAAACCCCTTCATTCACTTATCCAGTGAGCATTGTCTCAACTACAGGAGGAACGGATGAGGATGTCAAATCGAGAATCGGGAAGGCGAGAAACACATTCATCAACCTGAAACCAATCTGGAAATCTTCGTCACTCAGCCTGCATCAACAACAAAATTCGGATTTTCAATACAAACGTCAAGTCAAGTCAGTTTTGCTATACGGATCAGAAACTTGGCAGGTAACAATGAATGTTTCCAACAGCCTGTTGCAGACCTTTATCAACAGCTGTCTTCGTTCCATACTCAAGATCAGATGGCCGGGAGGAATCACCAACAAGAAACTATGGGAACAAACAAAACAGGAACCAATCGCCCAACAATATGCAGGAGAAAGTGGAGGTGGATTGGACACTCGCTGAGGAGGCCGCTGTTGGGTGACATCGCGCATCAGGCCAGTGCTCGAGTGGAACCCGAAAGGGAAGCGGCGAGTGGGACGTCCAAGTGTGGGTGACATGGAGGAGATCGTATGAAGAGGAGTTGAAACAACATGGATTAACATGGATGCAGATGAAAAGTACAGCAGAAGGCAGGAGCAAGTGGAGACGTGTAATTGAAGCCCTATGTTCCACTAGGAACCCAAGGGAACAATAATAATAATAATATTAATAATAATAATAATTCTGACTGGTTACCTGATATTGGTCGTTTAAATTTGATCTGCCAGATCTAGCTGTTCTTATTTTTGACTCAGAATCTCGAACAAACTTCATCAGACTGTCTATTTTCACTTTTACATCTGCTTTAGTAGGCTTGAAGAAAAAAAATGAGAGAGTAAACACATTTAATTTAAATTTTATACTACTTGGAAATAAATCAGTAGTCTATTTAGAAATTAAATTCACAAAATCTCGTCGAAATTCAAATAAATGATTCCAACTGTTCATTTATTTGTTTCCGAGATATTTTGATGGAAAATGGTTTCCCACCTGGATTCACAAACAAGATTATGAAACCCAATAAAACTGTCTAATCGATCTAAGTTACTCCTAAAATGATTCTGCGGCTGAGCCTCAAGCTTAAAAGCGATACTAAGACGGAAATTCTCTGGAAACGGCTTTCAAGGTCACTTAGTAAAAAATACGAATAACATATTCTTGTCAGCAAGTTACATCGGCATGCATACATCATTTCAGCGGCTACTTGGAAGTTGACTACATCGGCCGTATTATGCGTTCGCTTGCAAAACGCTGTCGAGGACACCATCTAGCCTACTTAGCAAAGATCAATAACAGGATATTTTGTGAATGAATTCAGAAAACTCAGCTTAATTTGAAAAATCCTTCAAGGTAAAATACGAGATCCTGTCGAGTCTCTCAAAGGGAATAGCTGAAGCATTAACGAACAAAAACTCAAGTCAACAGTGAGTATCCAAAAGCAGTTCTCATCCAACCTTCTTCCTTATCTTGACCATTATAAGCTGTCTATTTCTCAGTAACAACATCAATTATCATTTTATCCTGTCTTCTTACTCTTCCTTCATATTGAAATGTTTTTGTCCGTATTTGTATCACACAAATTAAGTATTTCGTAAATTTTATTTTAGCCGTTAACTGATATGTCAGCTCTTAGTACGGATGATCCGACAATGTCTGAAAATGTTATGCGGTGTAAGGAAGATGAGCAACAGTAGATATAGAATACGCATTTATCTCTATTTGGGACTTGCCAGCTGGAAGCACTTGGAACCCCGATGAGTGATGGTATGTTCCCGCTTTGACTCCTACGCACGACTCAACGTTTCAAACGCCAAGTCATCATCCACCAGACTACTTGGGCCACGAGAGTAAACTCTTGTACAACGTGTATGAGTTATTATTTATTTGAGTCAATAATGCTTTGCGCTTTGATTGATTGTACTTAAATGCTCCACGTCTGTTGACACTTGCCAGCTCTTAGTACAAACGGTGTCATGTTGCCTGAAGATGAATGTGGCTTAACTGGCTAGGTGATTAAGGCTTTGGCGTTTGTTAAGATTGGTGCTGGGTTCTAGTCCCACAGGGAACAGCATCATTCACTATAGAATGCAGGTACATCCAGTTGACGAGTCCCAAATAGAACAGATGAAATGCGCCTCCTGGATTCCACTGTTAGTCACCATCCACCAGTTAAAGAATGTTATTTTCAACAAACTGCTCTCTATCAGGTCCGACAGCTATATGTCTATAATAATTACTTTTATTAACAACATTAATGTTTCAGTTAGCATCGAATCAGGGAGATGAGTAGGCTACAGTTCAAAAGCATCCCTAAGTGACAGTGTGCAGTAGTGAAACAACAAACTGAATATCAGATAAATCAAGAAAGGTTTACAGATTCTACAGGAGGCCAGGATAGCACTATCAGCCGAACTTTCTTTTATTTTGCATACAAAGTTTTGGCTGTTTTCACTGAATTGCTACTGTTTCTGTTTTTCGGAGTATTCAGTAACTAGTGTCTATAAGCTATTTATTAGATACATAATAGACAAGAGAAAAGTATTCTTTCTTTCTGGCCTTGTGCTCTTCTAACGTCGAACTGTTAATGCTTCCCATTACATCCTTATTCAACTAAACTGATAGATGATCCAGTGTACGAAAAACTAACTTATAGTAAGGATCACCACCTGGTCCAAACATGCAATAAAGCCGGCACTGATGAATCTTTTTCTATCATCCATCAGGTATCGAAGGAATTGCCAAAATGCCTGTAGACACTGAATACTTCATACTGCAGTGGTAACTACGATTCGCTTGAAATACCTGCAGCTCATGCTGCAAAAAGAAACGAATCTGGATCCTGTTGATACCCTAGCCTACTCTGGAAATTCCAGATCCATAAATTGTGTGTTATCATTTTTCCTGATTTATTTGTTTTTCAGTTTAGCGTTATATTGATGCTTATTACCATACACGCATGCTTTTGAACTGTAATCTATGCTATTTAGGAGAAAACATTAATTTTGATACTAACAATAGTGGTTTTTTTAACTATTATGAGTATATAACTGCAGAACCTGATGAAGCGAAAATCCCAGAAAAGAATGTTATTTATTGATTAATTCCCACCTCTAGACAGTTATATTGGACATCTTTAATGAATCTTCATTTGAGAATAAAATACCCCTGTTATTCAACTTGAAACCATATACTTTTTGGTGTTGATTCAATTTTGATTTTCTTGTTGACTAACTGGACCGAAATGTTCTGCCCGTGTTGACAGGTGGCTATTGTGGCCCAGGTGGTCTGGTTGGTAACACCTTAGACTTTGAAATAATGAGTACTAGGCTCGAGGCTCATATATAAGTTACAGGATGACTGAGAATTGCCATGAAAGGGTAAATGTAACAAGAATTAACACTTACTGAGTCAGGTCTTCGTCTTCCAGCGTCTGGATATGCTTTGAAAAATTGAGCAACATAAGTGACAATTGATTTTTCATCTGGTCTGTCAACATCCACATCTAGAATGTAAAAATGAGAAGGAAGCAGTTTTTATCTGCCTGACTTACGAAAGGCATTGGAAAGGATTTTTTCACGGCTAGATTTATTCTTCTTTTTAACACGAAATGTTCATTAATGCAGTCTAAAGTAGTTAAGTATCCTGTTCAAGTCAATGCCAATAGGATTTATCAACTCACATGCACTTTTGGAGGCTTGGACATGGGAAAGACTGAGAGGAGAGCATCAACTAGATTTTCACAGCATATCCCCAACAATCTTCACATGAAAACTAAGTACCGAAGTGTTTACAAGTGCTACCGTTAAGTGCATGATTGACGTCAGTCAAGCTTTCAAAATAATTAATATTACAGAGAAAATTCTGACTACTTCGCTTTGTAGAAGCCATTGCAATCAAAACACTTCAACCTAATCTCTGTATACAGAAAGATAGTATGATAAATGTCTCACTACCCTGTTAACTACACGCCTCTGTCTTGTTCACGTGATAATCCTTCTTTCGCTTACCAGGAATTTATATTTTCACTCTCTCCTCTCGAATGTCCCATCATATTATGCATAAATGAACTCCAGTTCTTTCGATTATTAGCTATCTTGTATTCATACCTCTTGTTCCACAACTATGCTATATATATATATATATTAAAGGCCAGCTGCTTTCAGAATGTACTGTCCAAGCCCGAATCACGATATACGCGTTGCTCATTACCAAAATCCTCACACTCAGTGGTCTGGTGTTAGAAAAGTCAAAGATCACATTTCATGCATTATTGCTAAGCATATTTGAGGTAGAATGACTGAAATGTCATCGAAATTTTCTTCCAAAACACCAACGTTCTAAGCTACAGGAAAAAAGACGTTGTAATAGTACTACTGTTCCACATGATTTCGCATAAATAGCTGTGATGTCTCGAGAAATTAGCAGTACGGAGGATGAGGATTGCTTTAAAATGCTTACAAGTCTCTCCTTTCTTTCTAGACTGTATTGCCGAAGGTCTTCAAGATACAGGAAGCCTCATTTCCAGGTTTTGGGCTGCCTGAACGGATGCCTCGGTATTACCACGATGGATTACACGAAGTCACCTGTTTTGGTTAGCCGGAGGATCTAGTACGCACGTCTCATTGGTTTTGACAGTAGTCCTCTGAATGCATCTACACCCCAGTTTCCATGGTGACTCAGTAGCTTGGCAGTCTATCATTCAGAATTTGAAATGTAAAAACATTGACTGCCTAAAAATTATTCAGACAAACAACCAATCAGATCTCACCACGTTGATTGACCTAACTAATCAGTCCAATGCTGTAGTATGACTAGTTTTGCATCAGTATTAAACTTCTCAGTTTTAATGAATGAGTCATCTTGGAGATTACCATTTCGAGTCATAGAAAGCGTTCATTATTTTTGATCTTATTCGTATGAATATTCACCATTTATATTGAACTAGGTATACCATCACTCACTGGAGTTGCAGATATACCTGAATGACGAGTTCCAAACAGAAGAGAACTCGTGTCCTTGATTCTGCTGCTAAGCATAACCAAACAAGTAATTTTAAAGTAAAATTATCGTTTGTGAACATCAAAATAACAAAAACAATATTCGATGCATCATTACTATCTTCGAGTAAATGTACTCACTAACCTTCAGGATCAAGAAGTCTTGGTATACCCAGGTGTTTTTCAGCTATAGTGAATGCATGTTCTAAGTTTTCTTTAGGTGTTCTTGTTTTAACTTTATCCATTTCAACAAGACTTGAGTCAATATTATGCACCATAGCATTGAATGCGATACCATCACGCCAACTTGGACCGAAATCACGAATTTCAACATCATATTTCCTAAAAATTGAAAGAAATCGTGTGTTATTGTACATAAATGCATGTATGCTGTACTTATATATGTTTTATAAAGACACTGAGTGACAGAAAGATAAAACGAGAATATGTTACAGGACCAGATGTTTTCAAATCTAAACTACATTCAGTTAAACTCGGTCTTTACGGGGACTGAGAAACTAATCGACTAAAAACCACCATACTTTTTGATGTGGTATTGCGGAACATCTGTCACTGTCTTTCATCTAGGTAACACCGCTTCAGCGCTAGGCTTGCTCTCCTTGACCATAGATGTTTGCTGTTTATTCTCCGTGTTAAATGTTATAATGTGGTGAGCGGTGTTGAGGTAGTTAGGTGTAGAGTGTTAGGCAAGGAGGGAATGTCAACAGTTGAGGTTATGAAGCTACATCGATTGAGATGGCTGAGATATGTGCTACCCAGGCTGGTCCACCGACTTCCTCGTCTAGAAATGTTATCTGATATAGAATTGGACTGGAAAAGAGTTAAGTGGAGGTGGTGAAATCAAAAACTGATATCACTCCGTGGAGTTATTGATAGTTCGTTTGAGTCACAGAGGGAGGTGTGGACTGTCTGGGTAGAGTACTCGGAAAGCTTAAAGCCCATGGCTAGAGACTATAGGTGATACGTCACGAGATCGTTCTCAGTGGCGTAGTGGCTCTCACTCTCATTTTAAACCCGCATATTTTCTGTATTACTATTCTTTCCCTATTACATTTCGGCTCATTAGTTATTTCGAATCTCTTTTCTCTGCATTTGTGTCCTATGTGGAAAATGGTAAGCTAAATTACTGCACTTCTGTGCAAAATTCTACGTTGAAGCTCAGTCAGTCAGCTATAGCGCTTACTTCCATGTAAAGCGAGTGTTTTGTTGTTATTGAAAATATCCGTGAAATATATGACCATCCCACTTGATAATCTTGACTATGACTTTTCGTTATCTTTGTATTATTATGGATTGTTTCATTGATATAGAATTTCACCACACTGACATTTTTGACCATTTGACTTGTTCTTTATTGACTGTCAATATGTCTGTCAAGCGAAGCTTGATTTGAGGAGCAGACGTGAAGGTGGACTTTTTAAAATCTGGGCTACCAAAATACTCTTGTACAATTTGCCTTAATCTATTAAAATATGGCCTATAAGTATGTTTTATATTCTTGAGAGTACTTAAAATGTCTACGACCTGCTGATTCGCAGGTCGTTGTGGGTAGCAACGTATTCCAATACATGGGATAGTATGAACTGTCACTGTCTGAGAAATAAAACTAATAGCAACAGTCTTCAGTTATTCAGCTCTTATTGTGTCCTTGGGACAAAGATGTACTCGTAGCTTTTTTAATTGTCTTTCAAACAAAAATTGTGCATTTCTGGAGGGAGGCAAGGAGAAAATATCGTAAGGGATTGGTTGGCGGCGCTTGAGGTCAGACAGCAGTGTGTCACGCGACTTACTCTCAGTTAGTATTTTAATTGAATATCCTAGACAAAGGGAAACTGCTATGCAATAATTTCCGCTGAAAATTCTGTACATTATAAAGACGTTGTTCAGAATACAGCAAAGCTGGAAGTCGCCTTTGACTCATATAGAGCAGATGGCATTCACTTTCTCTTCTTTTACTGTTGAGTCTTTTAGGCTGCAAAAATGCCAAACGAAGTGATTGTCCTAGTTTGCATATACGATATCCATTCCTAATGGTTTTATTACTGTAGTCATTACTTCATACATGATAGGATAAATTCGATGGTGGTTTGATTCGAGTGTAGACATTCTTTTAATAAAGATGTGTTGTCTATACGGTGGACATAAAATGAAAGCTTTGGAAGTGAAATTACGCAGCTCAGAGAATACAACGTCACGTCAAAATCATCCACACATGATAATGTATGTCTAAAACTTGGGCACTGCAGTAGTAAGTAATTCCATATTAGTTTGTTTATTAGATGTTTCACTGTGTGATACATCCTGTCAATTTCCAACAGTTGAAACAAAAGAAAAACTTCAAAAGGACGACTTTAGGTAACTCTGATAAGCGTACGAAGTAAATCATCAGCACTGCAAATAGTATGTAAGAAAGCATGATTATTATCGGCATATCAAAACTTCTACGAAACGAGCTCCTGGTAAGTGTATGTAGTGTAGCGTAGTGTAGCGCATTTGTGATGCTAAATTATAGGTTTATGAATACTATCTGGGATTACATGGAGTGAGTGGGCGAATATTTATCCGACAGGCAATAACTAAAAGTGGGATGCAAAATCTGATTGACAGCAAAACCCAAATTAGTAGTTCAGCTGGTAGACTGCTAGAGATACCACTTGGAATACAAGTGTGACTTAGATTTCAGTTTCACTTTCAACTGTTACTCATTTCTTCAGTCCTTTGCATTTTGAGTCGAATACAGAGCTTCAAGCTTCTTTTGTGACGTCACAGTAGCAGTAGTATTGTTTCTTCACTGGCTGGGGTTACTAATCACACGCCCAATCTTCCTTCCTTTCCAGGCTTGCTAAGGGTTAGGAGTGCGTCAGATGGAATCGAACCTGGACCTGTGGAGTAGCTATCGAGAATTTTACCACCGCTGAAACACTGACACACCATTATCATTCATTACTAAGTAATTTATGTGTTTGCTAATAAAGTTATGGTATTAGAAGACTGATGACAGAATTAGTGAGCAACGCATCAGGTTAATGATGTGGACTGCAGATTCTGAAGAATATAAGTACATTTTCAACAAAGATGTAATCAGTTTAGATCTGCAAATAATACACTGAAGTTGAGAGTTAGACTCGCTTCTGTGTCATGGTCACCTTCACTTGACTGTACCACTGCTTCCTCAAAACCTTTCATTTCCTGTTCACATGATCCTTTCACTGTAGCTGTCATGCCCAACTCGTCGCTCGCTTCCTATTCGAGTTCCAATTGAGAACCAGCTTGGCGCATATGTCACTAGAAGGTCTCCTCAGCTCATGTTCAATTCATTTCCATTTGCCCCTTCATATTTGTTGGCTAGTCATTAGGTTCTTAACTGATTCACAGCCAGAGTTAGTCTTCGCCGGGATATTGATCCTCATTACCATGTTAGCGAAAGGAAAGTCTGCTCCAGGTTTCTGAATCATGTAGAAGCAGTAATTTGACATTGGTGTCAAAAATTTGAATCTTTCCCATTACGCTGTATGTTGTGGACCTTCACACCTAGTTTTAAATTAATAAACGCTTGTCTTGCTTTCTCGATTATTGGTGGAACTGACATTGTCATCGGTGCCAACGCTTATAGTTGTAAAGATCTTGTCCAGTTTAAGTGAAAAACACAGGATGTATTTCAAGTGACTACGGAACTTCACAATATGTCTGTAGCTGAATTTGGGCATAAGTTATCGAATTTCCTCCGGGTGTGGTTCACTTTTCCTGTTTTTATCTGGCTCATATTTAATCTGAAAGTTGATCTTCGCTCCAAAAGGCAGTGTGATAGAGAAAGAAAATCTGTGCACAGAAACCGTACACAATAGTGTATCTGCTTAGTGTGGTTGGTATACTGGTTAGGTGTATTAAGTAGTGCGCGAAATGAACAAAAAAGTTAAGAGCAAGCATGTAGCGCACAGTGAAACATTTAATTCACAATTAGATTATGCTGAACAACACTTACATTCCAAGTTTCCTGAAAAGATCATTATCACATTATATAGGTGTATACATATGTATATGTGTATAAATATATAATAGTGTTGTAATGAATCGCCAAGTTAAACTATAGCAGCCACTGCCAAAAATGACCTTGAACAACCAATGAGAATAAAGGAATGATAGAACTTCAAAAATTTACTCTTGAATTTTGTTCAGATCTATGAAATCATTTGGATGGTTGGCCTAACTCCTTAGCCTAACGAATTAATGAGTTTTAATTTTCCTTTAATGTGATTGGTATTCACGGTAATGGTTGCTATACAGTAAGTTCGCCCGCTGAGTCATAGCAGAAATTTTAATGTAACTTTACAAGTGAGTTTATAGTAGCTACCAGAAAAAACTTAAAAAATTAAGTTATTTATCGGTTTCATATTGAATGAGTTTATTTTCGTTAAAGCACAGACTTATACAGTTGTTAGGAAGCTCTCCAGAATGTCTCCAACCATCATTTCAGAGTGTACCGCGATGGTAAGCCACTTATCTTGATGACTTTGCAATGCAAATTGGACTGATAGTCACTTCAGTCAGCACCAACACACCAAGAAGTAAACACAAGTGATACTGGTTAGTTCTTATTGGTTACACAATGCATCCATTACCATCCTACAGGAGGTGAATCATTTATATGAACAGCTTACTAGTAACCTCTCAGACTTCAGCACTGGGTGACGTGAATTCAAATCTCCGTGGGAGGAGATATCGTTTGCTTCCAGGCTGCAAATGCAACTTTCTGACAGGTGAGTACCAACGAAAGTGAAACCTAGTGCGGAAAAATTTCTTCTCTGGCATTTGTCTCCCATTCATAAATATTCATACATATATATGGAAAGCCACATTTGCATAAAAGATTATTTAGTATAACTTTCATTCTTAAAGAGCTGAATATTCCTGAGATTATATATTTTAATCATGTTTTCCTGAATGATTGTATGTCGCGCGCTAAATAGTCAAAATAATAGTGTCATTTTGATTGATAGTAGCTAACACAGGAGTCCAGGGTGTTTATTTAGTCTTATTCTGGAAGGAGGTTAATTTCCGTATCTTTGTTCATCGAACTGGATGAGCTTGCATAAACTGTGAGTGTGATGTCCGCACTAAGACTCTAGCCTATGCGGTACCCATCCTTTTCAAAGCCAAATCTTTATCCACTATACCATGCAGCTATGAAGCCACTTCTTGTAGAAATGGATTCCATCGCTGAAAAGAAACACCATTTTATGACAAAGGCGTTATTGAAACATCCGTGCTAGGAGCTGAAGACACGTCAACAGGCATTAAACACTTCAGTCTAATAACAACGGGAGGCTGAAAAATAATAATTCTAACAAATAGTCTCGATTAATGTTCAACTTAAAACTAAAGAAAGGAGAAAAGTCCTCAGATGATACTTTGCTTTGAAACAAAATACACAAATTGATAGTCTTGAAAGGGAATCAGAATCTCAGCATCTGACTTGACTTGAAAGATTAAAAATGGCGATTTACAGAAGGTGTCTACACATTATTCGAGGCCACACAGTATGTTGCCCACTTGACACTATGAATGGTAATCAAGAAGGTATGCATAATTGTGTGGTTTGATATATAGTTCTATTTGATGTAGGCAGCTGGAAACTATTCACGTCAAACAGTAGTACTTGCCAGCCAGATCATCAGTGGTCCACTTGCTTTTGACTCAACTTAGAGAGATCGTTCAGCTAAAGCCATTAAAATTCTACTCAATCAAGTTGCTTCTTTCTACTCATATTAATCATCATCATCATATACAATCAAGCTATATCCCTTGGTTTATTGATTGCCATTTATGATATAAAACAGTTCATATTACTGTGATCTGAAAAATTTCAGTTTCCAAAAGAAACTGTGAATATATCTCACTCAGAGTTGTGTGACGAGTTTGACTCTATGTGACCTTTTATTCCAGGTGGTCAGATAGCGAGAATTTCGTTGGTCTGAAGTGATTCGCCTCTTTGAACTCACTGATCACGAGTTCACTGCCGATGAACTACTCAACCACTGAAATGGAAGTCCTATGTTTACATAGCATCGGTGATGTGAAGAATAAAGACTACTTACTGACGTTAATAGTTTCCAATTACTACTCATATTAATCAGTTAGTAGTATATGTTAGCATCAAGATGAAAAATTTATTCCATAATTTAAATCTTATGCAACAATGCATTCTAGGGAAGGTGTAATATAAAACTGATCCTGTAACCAAATCTATAATTATTGAAATCACGGTCTAGGTCAACTCACCCTGCGAAAATTTCTTGAACCCATGCTTGTAAGGCACGTTTAGCCGAACCTCTGGTTTTTAGTGAACCAGCTGGAAGATCTAAAATTTTCAGTAGTAATTCTTCTTGTTCTTCGATCTGTAGAAGAGTTTAAAAAGATAGCATTAATAGTGATAATAATTTTCAGGTGTCCTGTTTTTAGGTGATTTAGCTGATTTCAAATTTAGATATGGTTGCTAACTGACGTGGGTTTGAGTAACATTGAAAAAGGAGGGAGAGTCAGACAGCTGTTTCGTCCTCTTGACCTTACCACAGGTCAAACTTAGGATCTTGAAGTCATAAGTCAAAAAACTAGAATATGAACCGCTCTGTTCAGTGCTCAATGGTTTTCAGTAGTCCTCTAACTGATGATAACGTCTAATGAAATCCATGTTGATAGGTAGATAGATAGATGGCTACACTTATTTAAATACGGTTTATCACACCAGTGGAAGTATTGTTACAAAATGAATTATCACACTCATTTTGATTTTTTGCGCATTTAAGTTGCATACACCGTCAGCTTACAGAAAAATACTTTCCAGGGATTAGCTTTTCAGTAATCAAGAAAAGAAAAGAAATAATTGCGGTCCACTTACGTATACTAGAACAACCAGTCACGCACACCCAGGCATGGAATTACGATTAGTCTGAGGGTGTAGACCTCATGTACAAAGTCAGCTTGTGAAATTTATCCCCTTTTAAGAATAAGAGGAGGAGTTGGTGCATAATTAAGTTTGTAGCAGGAATAGAAGTAGGATTACGAGAAGAAGCATGACCTTGGGTGTGTGCATGAATGCTTAGCTGGATCTGGAGAATGAGTATGAATAGGTTTATTTGCAGGAGCAGGAATAAGCCCAGTATTAGCAGCAGCAGGAATAATGTTAAAAATAGGGACAGAAATGGTCAGGAGCAGAAGCAGAAGCAGGATTTAGAGTATAATTAGCAGTAGCAATAAGGTAAGAGATAGGGAGATATAAGTAGGAACAGAGATAGGAGTAAGATTTAGAGTAGAAGTGCAGTAGAATGAGCAAGACAATGACTATAAATGCGAGCGAGAGTAGAAGTATGAATAGGAGTAGCAGTATGTGTAGTACTTGGAGCATATCGCATTGTGCGTATCTGCTTATACAACTTCAGCAAGCGCCTCCTCTCTTTTCCTAATAAAGATCCTCCTATACCTACTGCATAACCTTTGCAACACTTTAAATCAGGAGTGTTAGTCACCAGAGAGTAGTTTGCGATTCCATTAGTTGTGAAAACGTTATACTAATGATTTAATTCGCTAGTAGTAATGCTATCAGTCTCTTTTCCATTATGCATAGAATAAGCAGTAGACTTACCTGGAAATAAAGTATAATAACCCATATAAGACCAAGTACAATTGCTGGCTTCCCGTCAGCAATGTCTGTTGGATTCACGTTGACCAATTTCACCTTTTATGAAGAGAAAATATTAAATACAAGGGAGAGAAGTGGAATAGCACTTTGATATATAGTAGCTTTATTCTGTACAATATATGGAGAAGTTGAACTTCAGACACCCAACGGGCACAAACTCCATACTAATAACTCTGGCGCCAAGTCAGAGTAAGGCAATGAAACTGCGTAAATAACACTATATTCATGGAAAAAAGTACTGAATAAAATGTACTGATATTAGACAGGATATTTGTCTAGTTTTGGGTTAGGTTTAGGCTAGATCAACTTAATTAGGGGAGGTATTAGAATTTGTTAGGGGTAGATCAGGTTTAGGTTAAGAAAAGACAGGATTTAGGGGTGAGCTAGGGAACCAAATTTTCTCTTTATAGCTTAACTGCACTCTCCGAGGTCAATCGTGCGTCCAAACTTTGCCGAAAATGTTAACATAAGTTACAGAATTCTCAATGTCATTTTACTTGCCAGATATTTACTCCTCTTAGCCAATCTTTAAGTAAAATAATCATCAACAGGATGTCGTATGATGCAACGACATTTCTGCTTCGTTCCTACAGCTGGCAAATGACCAATGAATGTGTGAGGGAGAAAATGCTGATTTTTGTGGTTGGTTTCGAACTACTGGTATCAATGAGTAGTATATGATGTCACACAATTTTGCTGGTTTTTTGATTACAATTTGTGGTATAAAGTAGATTATATATTGTGATCTAAATATTTTTTTATCGGGAATCTACTTTTACGCATTCATGAGTATGTATCAGTTTGGCTTGGTAAAGGATTAACCAAGTAAATAAACAGTGTCACTTAATGGATGGTCAGCACTGTGTCACAAAATAGATGAATCAGTTATGGGATTAGACCTCCTAACCAAAGCCAACTTTATGTGTGCATAGACAATACCATTCATCTTCTTTTATGTTTCTCTTGGCCTATTATAAGGTAATGATAGTAGTAATCACCTCATATGTTTTTGTCTTACGATGTCCCCCGCCCTTGGATTTACACTAAGCGTATCTTTTCTCTATTGTTTGATTACAGTTCACTGTATGACAACTGCATTTTGTCACTATACTTGTTACTTCTCAGCCTTCAAACTTGCATTCAACTTACCATATTTGTTTATTTTATGTATACATTTGTAGTGCCCACATACCCTTTCATATCATCTGTAGCCTTTATTTTTGTCTACCATAAATACATAAGCAGGTCACATAGCTGTTCATTCAAATTTTGTCTTATGTTCTTAATGACTGTACATTTTATATGGATTTAAATGTCCATTCACAACTGACAGACTGCTACTGATACCCCCTTACAATCTGTCATATGATATTTATTCGATTATGCTAGCGTACTGTTGTTCTCCAACATTTATAGATTTATCACTGAAGAATCTGCCTTATTTACAAATGTACCAGTGATGGAAACAATAGATATCATTTGTAAACAAACAGCTCAATGGCCATTACTGGAGTCAGAGATGAAACGACTATTAATTCTTTGCACAAAAGACATCCAATTTAGATTCAATAACCAATTCTACCGACAAATTGATGGGGTCGCCATGGGTTCACCTCTAGGACCCATTCTAGCAGACATCTTCATGGGCTATATCGAACAGACGCGACTGAGTGATGCTATCAATGAAACAACATACTACCGTCGATACGTCGATGATACTTTTGTTATTTGTAACGACATGAGTCAGGCATCCGTATTATTTGACCGCCTTAATGAGATCCACCCAAACATTAAATTCACCATGGAATATGAACAAAACGATGAGTTCAATTTCCTGGACCTAAATGTAAAAAGAAGAAACGATGGAACAGTTGAAAAGTCCATCTACAGAAAAGAAACTTGGACTGGACAATACCTTCACCACAACAGCTTCTGCCCTATGAGCTATAAGCGGGGATTAGTAAGGACACTGTACGACAGGGCCAGGAAGTTATGTTCACCTAACAAGGTAGAAGAAGAATTAAGCTTTGTTGAAAAATGCCTTGAGGAAAACGTGTATCCAAAAGGATTTATCCTAAAGTACAGCAAAGAAAGAGATGAGAAAGAGAAGTATCCAACAGTTGAAAAGAAGAAAGTGTTCATTTGCCTCCCATACAAAGGAGAAACAGTATCGCAAAAGATTGAAAAGAGGATGAAAGGAACAATAAAGAGATGCTTCCCTGCAGCCAATCTGGTGACACTATACAGTACTACATGCTCTATAAGCCAATCGAAACTGGATAAGTACCCTGCTGATGTTACCTCCAACTGCATTTATAAATTTACGTGCACCTGCGGCAGCAAGTACATTGGAAGGACAGAAAGAAGGGCTTCTATCCGGTTTTCAGAGCATATTCCGAGAAACTTATGCTTAAAAGGAAGCAGATATTTACAAAGTGCAATTACCAGACACCTTGTGGATACGGGCCATTTTGTCGAGATTTCCAAATCCTTCAAAATATTAAACATACAAAGGACAGCGAATCTACTACGATTTGCTGAAGCAATTGCAATCAAACGTCTCAGACCAAACTTATGCACACAGAAAGAGAGTGTAGTCAATCTCTCACTCCCTTGGTAACCATATCACTTTCATTACACTGATTACTCATACACACTAGTGGGCTCAACTCACTAAGCAAGTTTTCAAATTGATGAACTTTGACCTTGTTGAGTTGCCATGTTGACACTGTTTATTAGATTTTTCTGTTTTCTGTCTTCTCTCACCCCCCCCTTTTTCCTTTTTTCATAGTTTGATAGTATATAAATTGATGGTAACTTAAACTATAAAATTTTAATCCTTATATTCCGGATGCGTTCATCTTATAATGTTTTCTCTATTACCTTTCAAACAATGAAGTATGAAATGTTATTATTTATAACCATTGTAATTTCAGGTAGTTTGCAGCTGATGAGAACCTGTGAAATAGAATGACATCATTTTATACTGCAAATCTGGTCTTTCTTTCTCTATCGAAAATATTTTTCTTTCAATGAAAACTGTAGTGAATTCTCAGGTCGAAATGTGTAATTAACAAATTTTGAATTTGGACACCGTGTTGTAGAATAATAATTCCAGACATAGATAACTTCATTCGTTATAATTCATAAACACACAATTGACACAGTATTAATAACTGGTAATGTTTCGAACAGAATTTAATGTTGCTTACAATTATATGAACACACTTGCATGACTTCTTAACTTGATTTTTGTAACCTTAATGACCCCTTCTTATATCTTAATGCAGTTATATATATATATATATATGCTTTAAGCGTTGCACTATTTCGGCTGCATGTATGTTGGTGTAAATTCGATGAACAAAGATTCGGAGATTAACCCCTCCCTTTGCTCACCTAGTCATTACTAATTCATCGAATCAACACCAACACACATGTAATCGAAATGATGCAACGCTCACGCAGTGTATATGAAGAATCTCATTAGACAATAAGGCTCTATGAAGCAAGTTATCAAGTTGTATGAAATACACTGATATGATTATGAATGGCAATAAATCGTGTCCAATACGTCATCCAGTCATTCATGCTGTATCACTCATTGTATGTTATATCAAATAAATTTATCTAATCGGCAGACGGGAATTTAATCCGATACAGTGAACAGACCATCAGTGGAAAGCATCGCCAGCCACAACACTCAAATGTTTTCATTGTAAAAATCTTTTTAGTTCCAAAGTAAGGTCATGAGTTTAATTCCTCCTGGATGACCATCACCTAATGGTGTGTACAGTGCTAAAGAGGGAGGGAGGGAGGAAGAGTTCCAAACTAGGACTAAACACCAGTTCAATGAGTGTCTTCTAGATTTTTGAAAATATTCTCTAAATGATATTCGTTTCATAACGAAAGAAAATCTACACACATCGACACATACTTATTCTCATTGACAATTAATTGGCTGTTACACTAATTATAGTACAATTAAGGATAGAAGTATATATATATATATAAATGATGACATAATGAAGCCTGTGAAAAGATAGCAGGTGTCAACTTACATTTTTGGAATGTAAAAATTCCAATCCAGTTTTGATATTTGACAGACAATGAATTCTATGCATTTGAGGACGAGTCTCAGCTTTCTGTATGTAAGACAACAAATAAAAATATAAGACAAAACATGAACAAGGTGTAGTGACTACTTGGCATAAAGTAAATAGTAGTAGTTGTAGTACGAGTGGTATTCGTAGTAGCATTGTAAATCTTGATTAATCATGTTTGACATGTCAAAAACAAGTACTGTCATACACATACCTCTGAAAGTAATAAGATCTTGTCAACTATCCAGATCATGCTAAGCATGTAGTCTGTTAACAGTAATTATGGATATTTCATGTGATTGTGAGAGAATAGTTACCATCTTTCTTGTAAAGTTAGTTAGTTAGTTAGCTAGTTAATTAATTAATGAAATGTCAAAAATAATCTGATCCAATATAATTTTCCTGCGAGTAAAACTCTTATCATTCTCAGAAGCAGTGATTCATAACACAAAGATGTTTAGACTAGACTGGATTAGAATTTCTTTATTCAGGGAGATCAGTTCATAGGGAATGGAATGACTCCATTAAACATTCATAACTTGGTGCAACACTACAATTCATCTTCTGACTGTATCAGATGAATGTACCTCCGTCCTCCCTTATTCCCCCTGGCACTGAAACCCAGAGGCCATTTCTTTAATCGACAAAGCGTTATTTACAAAACTACTAAGCCATGAACTCAACTGGGCCGATTTCTCAAAGTGGAACTTTGGATAAAGGTGCAGCAGTACAAGTTGTCATACCTCATAAAAGCAGGCATAAAAGTAGGGAGAAAAGTGCTAAGAAACCTTAATGAACGGAAATACGTGCATCCTTTCAAGCATGGCTGGAAAACATGTAGCACTGGTTCAATCAGAAGTGCTCTAACTGAACACTCATCAGCTTCTGTTACAATTTTTTTTCCTTCACGTTCCCCAGTGGAACATAGGGCTTCAAGCTAGTGGCTTGAAGTTTCTGTAGCAGTGTTTATTTTACAGGATGGGGTTGCTAGCCTCATGCCCAACCTTTCCTCTTCACCAGTATTATTTCTGGCTTAGCGAGGTAAGGGAGGAGTGCGTCTATGGCCGGGGATGGAACCCCGGACCATGTGCATGGTCGGCGAGCGTCCTAACCACTATGCCACCGACACACTCTGTTACAATATCCCAACTCATTTATCATTCAGAGTCATTTATATGAGACACAGAAATCTACCAAAGACTGTGTATGCTTCTGACTTCTTTTTGCTGCATAAATCATCGCAATATGCATAGAGAAATGTTCAAAGGAAGATGTTTCAATTTACATATATCTATGCCATGATCACTCTTCCTTCAAAATGCTTTTCTCACATTCGGTCATAAAAATGTTATTTTTATCAATTCTTATGTCTTTCTGGTCACACCTGCTTTCAACGAACTGTTGATATTAAACGGTTGGAGGTAATCAGCAGAATGCCTTGGATGGCACTCGTCAGCTAGGCGTATCTCCAACCTTGAAGGAACTCATGTCCCTTGTGAGCCACCTAGCATGGTGGCCACATTGTAAACTTGACTGGTAGAATTCAGTCTGCACCAAATAAAGGACTTGACACATTATACTAGTTACTGACTAGTGTTCAGTCAGAAATGTTTTCAATGAAGCCCATTTTGCACACTGTGTAACTATTTCCCCCAATCCTGTATTATTCTGGTTACTATACCCCTGGAGATATTAATATTTATCTCTCACTATAACTGTGAACTTTCATATCAGGTTGAAGAATTATTATCTCCTTTAAATCTCACCTTAGTCACTATGTCAAATTAAGTAATATTAATAATAACCGTAACTATGCTAAATTATGTATATAAACTGTGAAAGAAGATTTATTCTGGCGATTCGCTTGAGCAGTTTAGAATTCTTTGAACGTTCAAATTCATAAGATTCTAAGCTACTTCACATCGAAGTTGCCTGAAGATGTTGCTCAGTAGAGCAAAACCGCCCAATCACACACCACACCAAAAGATTTATTCTGCTGAACTGCTTATTTTTGCTCTCTAACTTTACAATTAACAATATTTTGCCTAATTAATGTTATTCAAAATGTATTAATTGTTCATCATACTTCTTCATTACGATCCTGTAAAAACCCCTTTCGCGAACACTATTATATTTATGAGGCAACGTACACCGCAAATTGTTATATCAGGTGAAGTATTTTTGAAAACCATCACGGAGTACTGTACAACTGCTTCGCCCTAGTTCTGGACTCCTCAGTAATACCTACCCATGATCCTACCTCCAGGGATCAAACCCAGGACATTTAGATTACGAGACAATCCCGTTAGCCCATCAGCCACTGGGACGTAATCCACTGGCCTATGAACTGTAATCCTTGCCAGTGCAAAGTATATATATACATAAATCGTCAGTGTCATCAACAAGTGGCTGCCCTCACACCCAACGACTTGGTGGATCCCACCGTTCACGACTTCCCATTAGAACCTCAGACAACATCATTCTGCAGTCAATCACTAGTGGGAATTGGATTCATTTTCCCCTACAAATCGACACTTGAAAATTACGAGACATTTGTGGCAATAGTTATTTCAAAACTTTACGTATTCAGATTATCTACTATTCTCAAACTTACCAGCTTCTGTCCGGATAAAACTTCTAAAATCCTTATCAGCATTATTCCATTTTTGATATCTTCAAATAAGTCGTGTACTTTCAAGGGTGGATTGGCCTAGAAATGAAATAACATGGGATTTAATAAAAATGGGTTGATGTCATCTTCCAACTCTGACAACAAAATCAATACTTGCCAGGCCAAGATTGCCACTTTGGGCCACTTCAATAGTGAGTTAGTTATACCAACCGAATGAAGCAAACAGTTTACAAGCTAATGCCAGAACCAGAACACTCTCTGGTGTTGTTATCAAGAGGATAATGTAAGTCACTTACCACCTCAGTTATCGAAGAACCCTCGTAAAATTGGGCTACAGAGGTACACGGGAGACCTCTTTTAAATTCCTGTACACAGTAAGTTGAGACAGTACAGGGGGTGTATGGCGATGGCGCCACAGATTTTTCAACACAACCACGACCTCTAAGTTTTCATTATTCTACCATTGTAATAAGCTCCTTCATACTTATTTGCTTCTATTTTAGGTAACTGCCTTTTTCATTCCCTTGCGTTCCGATTGAAACATAGGGCTGTATGCCTTGAAGTTTTGGCAGCAGAGGTTTATTATTTTACATAGTGAATTTGCTCACCTTCTTTCCCAACATTCCCTATTTTCCACAACTACCCAGCGGCAAGGTTTAGGAGTGCTTTGGCTGCAAATGGAACTCTGATCTCTTGCTTGCCTCGCGTAAATAAGTAATTCAGCATTATTAGTCTTACATATCACTTTTTTACATTTAACTAGTCAATGTTTTGTTCTTACCTTCTATATGCATATCAGTTAGGGGTACTCAAACACCTTACTTAACATCTAATTACGATTTACGCCTTATCAGATTTCAAATCCTTACTTTCCTTATGTGTCGTTGATCATACTATGCAGTTTCTTTTTACCTTTAGAAACCACTGCCTCTCAGTGCCTGTATCAATTACTTCACACCCACCACCTCTACCCGCCGAATATTCAGTTATAGACTGATTGCTATGCGTTTTTAGTAAATACATTGAAACGCATTTGTACATCCAGCCATTAAAGATGACTTCATTGAAAAAGGAATATTTTTATGGAGACCTTTTATTCAATGAAAGTAAAAGGCATGATGCTATATACAACTGAGTTCCTGATAAGAGTAGTCGGATTCCACCAGCACCCGCCAGTTATCCTTGTTAGCCGGATCACTGAAGTGATCTACGCATACCGGATGGCCATTTGGTGCTGAACACATCAGTGGTATGTACCCGGTTCAACGAAGCTCACAGATAGCCGAGTCGGCTGAAACCGCTCCACTTCTGCCTAGCTACTTGGCTAGAGCACATATTGTGTGGTCAGAATAATCTCGGTTTCCAAAGGAAACCGGAGTAATTTCACCTGGAAGTATGTAAACTGCAAACAGTGGATTTGATCCTTAGTAAAAAACATTTTATTCTTAAAAAATAAAGACACTAGCGATAAAAGAAAGATTAATTCATATATAGGTCGTCTGAAATGAGATAAGATAACGAAATTGACTAAAGTGTGTTGGAAGTTTAGCGAGTCATTTTTCCTCGAATATAACTCACTGAGACTTGGCACATGTGTCACCTGAAGCATTTCTAACAACTTGCTGCGGTCTTCGTTGCCGCAATACTGGAGATAAGAAGTCCGGCTCGCCAGAGGATAATCAAGTAACAAAGAACTGTAATAGGTAGTCAACCAGCCGACAACCTATTCGGCAACCAACAGATTTACAAAAGGAGATGGAGATAGATGTATGGAACATATTCAGAAGAGATATTCAATTGACATCACATGCCAGGAACTCCCTTGAATGGAACCTGAATGCGAAGTGACGAGTTGGACGTGGTTTACGAGGGTGATATGAAGAAGGTTTGTGAAGAGAAGGAAATGAAAACTTGTGGTCAGTCACGGAGCGAAGTGAAAGTGATGGAAGACAACCGACTAGAATGAAGATAGGGACTAATGAAGTGTGTTCCACTCGGTACTCAAAGAAAGAATAACAATGCTGCTGTTATGTCCAGATTTCTTGATCTCACTCTGATCTAAAACCCTGAAGGAGCATTTAACGGAAAGATTATTTAGAAAATCCCTCCTGAACGATCCCACGATTTATACCTATTCGAGTGTTTCAACAAACTTTGTAATTATTATCCGTTTTTCTCCTAGACTGTATATCCTTAATTTGACACTTGAATACCACGTGTTCATTCGACTTCTATTATTTATCTTTTTATGTTTAATTTCTAATTTAATGCTTCCCTTTGTGGTTGTGTGTACACTGGTAATGTGTCGTACGATGTGATTTTCTTTAAGTGAATGGAGATCTGTTCGTGGGAAGCGCTAGTTTGTGCTTCTTGTGGACAGAGTTTTTGATCCCACCTTTTTAGGAATATCCTACTTGATTCTAAATACTCGTTTTATACTTAGACTGAACTGTACAGCTGCCTAACAGCATTGTTGAGTTAGTCTTGAGTTTTCGATGTTACATTGATTAATAGAACCGCCAAATTATTCAAGAACAATTATATTTTTCCTGTCGTTGAAGCGTTTCGTGACTGCGCGTGTCTCTAGAGAGTTCTGTTAGCTATATGGTAGGACACAGAGATCGGTATCATGATCTCAGATCACAACGAGTCAGTTTTGGTAGTAACCAATTACTTCAGAACCGTTAGCGATTCAAACATTCAAGTTAACATTATATATCCCCAAAAAGGTATTTTCAGTTACTTCCAATAGAGTTTGATAAAAATGAAATTGTAGATACCTTCTTCTAATGCGGATACACTTACATTACATAAATATGTGTTCAACCAATTGGTGAATGTTTTCTTCTGTACACGCTCTTGTTCACCTGAGCAGATAAAAACAAAATAAAATAAGGTGATAAGTATAACATAGTGAAACATGAGAATTTAACGGATCTAGGCGATTACAAAGAGTAAATGGAATGTACGCCATAGACAACGATTACGAGCTCTATTACACGATTGGTTCTCAGCATCTTAGGGAACCCAGCTACGCAGTCTGTGCCTTCCTACGTAGCTTACACCAACAGCTAAAGACTTTATTAATTGATGCCATAGAATACCCTTACCATATTTGAGACCAGCCGGTAAAGTTGATCAGATTACAAAAGAAACGAGATGAACGGTTATAGAAATGTTTGAAATATTCGAGAGTAGGTAGGATGGACGTGGATGTTGCAAACTGTTGACTGAAGAACGCTAGCAATCTACTCCTGTCATCCAGACGACAACTGCAAGTAAACTGAGGGTGTGGTTATCATGATGTCATCCACAACACTGAATACCTATTTTGACAATTATATATTCTTTTGGAACGAAAGATAAAAACAGGCATGGAAAAATAGTTTTCACTGGATTTTCTTGTCTTTGTTGGTCAAAAGCTTGAAACAATGAACTTTTATGGTTCCATTCCTTTCCTGGTGAAACACATGGCATCAAACCTTGAGCTGTGGAGTTTCAGCAGCGGTAATATTACTTTTACGTGATAGGGTTACTAGTCACACATCCAATTTCTTTTAACTGAGATAACAGTATGTTGGTGACTGGAAGTCGAAACTCTGCCACGTATGTGGCTCGTGGGTATTGTACCCCTGGACCATTGACGCTCGGTAAACTTAAAAAAATAGTGTTTCAACAAAACGATAAAAAGATGTAGTTCACCTGTAATGTCTAATATGTATTTGCGCAATACATTTCGGACATTCTGATCACACACACAGGTAATCGTCATACTTTTTCATATAAAAAGTAATAGAGTGCAAGGGATCAAGTTTTTTATCAATATAGGTCAAGATGTTTACGAGTGATGATCGCAGTCCTCTGAAATTCATTAAACGCTACAGAAACGTCAGACAAAGAGTTCAACCAATTCAACCACCTCTTTATCATTCAATGTTGACCACCAAGGTCTGATCCCTTAACAAAAACTCACAGCAGTACTCAATCGAATTCGCTATTCAGCTAAACTTCTTTTCATAGAGTGAACAAAATTCAAGTTGTCCTGTAAAATCTGACAGAATCCGAAGGATAGTATCACAATCCACTGTGTCTACCAATTTACATTCATGTGTGGTCACACGCATATAGGTAGGATCCATTAATTTCTTCAAATCAGGGCTACAAGACACATTCCTAATTATCTACAGAAACAAATAAAATCGCCTAACTGAATTATCAGAGGGTAGATGTTCAACGTTATCTACCGCAAAGCACATCGATAATTGCTTTAAAAGCATATGTAAAACAGGTCTGAGTTGTACAATTAAATTCATTGAAGCCTTAGCCACAAAAAGGCTTAAACTCATTTATATGAGTTTTAAAAAATTATTTGTTATTACTCTGAACCTCATTTGGTGATTTAATTTCAAAGTCAAGATTCATTTTACGAAATAATGTTTTCACTCCCTTCTTTTCTTGACTGCCACTTGAAATTTCGACGCCTAAACATTTCAACGCCTAAAAACATGTAAGGTAAGTACTCGTGTGTGTGATCCCAATGTCCAAAATGTATTACACAAATATGCATTAAACGCTTTTTATAAACTACGTCTTCTTCTTATTATTATGGTTTCATCGAAATTCATAAAGGGAACTAATCGCTTATATTAATAATATTTCATTGGCGCTTTTTTAAACCTTTGGGTTCCCAGTGGAACACAGGACTTCAGGCTTCAGCTTTGAAGTTCCAATAGCAGTGGTATTGCTTTTGTTTATTGTGCAGAGTTCCTAGCCACTCGCCTAAACTTCCCTTTTTTTCCCAGCTTACTGTCGGCTAGTAGACTTGACGAGGTTGAGGAGTCTCGCGGCCTGTGATCGCCACGTGCGTGGCTGTTGAGTGATCCAACGACACATAAAGCATTATTCAGAACACCACAATTCCACGAATCAACATTCAGTCATTTAGTATATATCTCCAAAAAATACTCATCCAGTAAAGTCAGCACAGTTTCATTGATCCCTGATCCCATTTTCAGCAGTTTCTAAGACTCTCATGCGTTGCTTAGAGGACAAATTATATTATTTTTCTGAAAGCAGAGAAACTCCCTCTGAAAACAAATTATTTCTCAGTGTAAAAAATCTTACCAATTAAACACTGTTGGTACTGTGAACCCTTCAGTAATTTCTAGACCGAATAATATACATTTGTATATATGGTGTCACCTAACTTCGACTAGTTTCTTTGACGGATTTAAGACAGGAAAAGCCCGTAAGCTGGGGCATGTCGTTAGCAGTACCACCCCGTAAAAATTATTTTCAGGGCTACTGAAACTTTAAAGCTCAAAGTTCCACTCAAGGGGCAAGAAATAAATAATGGTAATAGAAATAACAACATTCAAAGTGTTGAGCAGAAAATGATTTAGAAAGCAGTGTTGCTTGATGCTGGCTTTCAGAGAAGGTTTCTAGATGATTAAAGGGGAGCAGAACTTTCTCTCCTCAGCTGAAAACACTAACAGAGACCGATTTATCATTTTATTATTATTATTACTAGTAACTTCAGAACTTAAGTTTCAAGCCGTTTGTTTCACTTGTCACACAAAAGAATGGAAAAAATTAAAGCAAAACATGTAGAATGCAAGAGCTAACAAACAATGAACCCAGAGGCTGAGTGATATCAGACTGTCTTAACTTCGTTCCACAGGAAGTTAGACGAAGTAATTTTTCTTAGAAATTAACATAATGTGAGAAGACCAGGAATGATCAGAGGAAAGACGTAATCCAAGGTATTTATGAACATCAAAAAGATGTTAATCAGTAGAATATGGAACAAACAAGTTATCAGGACTGATTGATTACTTATTCAAGTTGACATGAATTTCTCATTGTTTAACTGAATGATCGAAATGCTCGGTCTCTGTCGACATGTCCCCCAACTAAAGGTAAGCATGTGTCAACTATAACTGATCATTAAAATGACGTCATTTGGCTGATGACGATTTTCAGAAGTAGAATTCAGGATGCGCAGTTCGTCCTATCTTAGAATTTATCATTTCGACGTACTTGTATCCCCAGCTAGTGAGCAGTGGTGGATAACACTCAGGTGTCTGATATGATGAGTACTGGTTGGGTTCATAGTCTCACGGATGAGACAATGTGAATCCTGGATGCTACTGATAGATATCATCAGCCAAAGGACTGATTACCTTACCCTGCATCAAAGATTTCTAAGAAGCCATTGGGCGCTGTCTTAATCCATCCATTTAGAATTAGAGTAGCACATAAATCAGGTGGTCACCATGTCTAGGGGACTGATGGAATTCACTCAACACCAACACAAACCAAGGACTAGACACACAATATCAGCTACTCTTTATTGACCTTTTCGTGCAGCCATTACGGTCCTATTGGGGGTCAACTGTGACTTCGAATAAATCAGTGGCGAAGCCCTTAAATGCAGCTATGAGTGAAGCGGGTTAGAATCTCCACAGGGTTATCAGTTCGTATATACTACTGATTAACTGGTATGAGTAGTTGGGCGCCATTCACATATCAACAAGCAGTACCTGCTGTGTGTGTGGGTGTAGAGTTCATCAGCGGTGCGTAGCGAGTCAAGTCCGCTGACAGATCTTAGTTGAAACCTGCCAAATTCTGGCTAGCTACTTGGGTGAACAGCTAATGAAGTAGATAATACTTACAATCTGCAATTTACACAGTTCCAGATGAAATATCACTGTAGTTTCATTTGCAAACCGAAATTATTCAAATCATAACATGCTGTAAATGACAATCAAGGAATCAGGTATAAATGCATTTTTGGACATCAGTTCCGTTGAGGTTATACGTGAGCCTCGTTGACGAATGCTAGCAATTACGATAAGTAGGCCAAGTAAAGCTTCCTTGGACTGTATATTTCCTCTGATCACCTTTCCTGGTCTTCCCACATGATGTTAGTTTCCAGAAAGATATTTCGTTTGACATTCTATGTAAGGAAATTAAGACAATCCGATATCACTTCGTCTCTACTGTTACCGTTTGTTAATTCTTGTATTCTGCCTATTCTTCTTTACTGTTCCCCACACCTTAATCTTCCCCGGGTTACTTAAGACTCTGTTATACTGAGTAGGGCACTAGAAGCCGTCAGTAGGGCAAGTAAGCTGTTGTTAAACCAACTCGTTAATAATACTGCAGATAGACACTTGGATTCCTGCAAGAAATTACCAAATATTGTCCTGTCAGACTCTGAACATCCTCTCCATACACAACTCTCTCCTTGCATCTCATCGGGTAGAACTAGCAGCAACTCTAGAAGACTGTATGATCGGACGACTAAGTACAAAAACTCTACAATACCTTATTTCGTAGGCACACATTTTATGTGATGAGAAGAGTGTATAAGACAGGAAATTACCAACTTACTGAAGGACTCTAAGTAAATGGCATTTATTTTGCTCTCACTGTTACATTGTCGTTAATATTTTCACTTGATTTAACTTTATATTCATTTCTTATTGGACAATAATAATATTAATGTAAATTATTATTGATATAAATGCGCTATTTTAATTATTGCCCCTGTAATGAGCAAATTAGATGCAATACTGCACTACTACATGCTGAAAATTCCATATTTGTACCAAAAGTACAGTTTGGAATAAAGCTATTATTATTCCTGCCGATTTCCTCTACCTATCTAAAATATCTCAGCATACTTACAAAAGTAATTAAGAACATTATCGCAAGAATCACCAAAACCTCCTTGTTTCCTTCATTTACAAACAAACTTCCAGAGGCTAGAATTCATGGACGGATGGAATCTGTCCCAATGGTTGAATGCTTGAATATGCTCACCTCGTAACCTGAATGTCCCAGGTGTAATTCCCGTCGTGGT